GTACCATTTGGGATAAATATAGGGGGGCGGGGGAAGTGTCTCTTAACACAAGTACATCAACTTCAAGGTCACAGACTGAGCTTAGGAGCTTAGGGTAGCTGACCTCAGTAGCTCAAAAGGGAGAACCCAGGGTCGGTGGGCCAGGTGGACCAGGGAAAGGTGGATGGGGAGTGTTTAGAGGGCTGGAGGGAGAGCATTTTGCAAGGAGAGTTGCGCATAGCTCCGGCAGCAGAGCTGGGGAAATGTCATGGGGTGAAGGGCCAGGGAAAGTCAAGACAGAAATGAGGGAAGGGGGAAAGCGAGGGCCTCTTCCTAGAAGGGGAGAGGGCAGCAGCACTGCCTCTACTTCTTTCTGTGTGTTGCAGGGAGAAGGGTGGGGGGGCGGCAACTAGACAGTAAGGATGGAGAGCCCCAGGGTGGAGCCCGTTGGGTGAGCTCAGGTCAAGCCTTTCACCCTGATGTGCCTCAGTTCTCTCCCAGCTGTTAAACAGGGCCCTTGGTGCTTCCCAGGGAGTTAATGAGTGTTTACAAAAAGGCTTGGAGATCCTCAGATCTCAGCTGGGCCACCACTACAGTTATGAAGCTCAAGAGGGGCTGAGTGTTATTTGGGGAGGGGGGGGGCGGGAGGAGCAGGGGGAGAGGGAAACAGGCTGCTCTCCGACAAACTCAGGATGAAACCAGCTCGGAGAGCACGAGCCTCAGCTGCCACGGGATACCCTTGTGCCCAGGGATGGAGGTCATGCACCCCCATACCTCTCACCACCACCAAAGCTCACTGTAGTCAGAACCCAGACTAGCAGCTGGTCTTCATTAGCTCTAACGTTTTTCACCCCACACTGTGAACCCACAGCTTCTATAGGCTTAGGCTAGAGGGGGCTGCCCTAGCCCGACCTTGCAGCTGACTCTGGGGTGGGGGGGACACCACACCAAAGGCCAAGTTACCAGCTGAAAATAAAGTTGAAGCAAGACTCCCTTTTCCCACTGGGAGCAAGAAGAGAGGAAAGAAAGGAGTGTGGGGGTGAGAGGGTGGAGGTGGGGGAATTTAGGGCAAACAGCAGGCAGTGAAGTCAGCTGGATTGAGGCCCAGAAACCCCCACACCCTGGGGCCAAGTCTTACTCTCGCTTTGCTTTCAGCTCGAGTCTTGGCTAGGCCCCAAACGAAGGAAGGCCCTGGCTGCCCCCTTCTGCCTCCCCACCCCCACCCTTATTAAATACACATTTTATCTCTCAGCATCTTCATTATCTTAACTGGAGGAGACAAGCAGTGGATGGCGGCAGGAGAGAGCGTCAGGAGAGGGGGGGCGGGTGTGGGGAGCAGGCGCACCCTTGTTATAAAAGTGCTGATCCAGCGCTTTCGGGCAGTGTGGGAAAAAGAGGTGGGATCAAAGGGAGCGAGGCTGATTCAGAACTCAATTAGAGCTTCGTAAAGAAGGAACGAGGTCTCTCCTTTTGCCAGTCTGCAGACAGCCTGCACCCAGGCCTCTTGCGCCCAATTAGTTTCTACTGCCAGTGCCTTGGGGCTGGGGTTGAAAATCAAGGGGAGGCCAGAGGGAACGCCTCCTCCCCCTACGCATCCATCGCACCTTTTCTGAGAAGAGGGAGACCCGCAGCTCTGTGTGGCTTAAAAGAGAATGTCTAGAGGACACCTTTTCAGGAGGGACCTGGGGTTACAACGTTCCCCAAAAGTTAAAAAGGGGGACATCAAAGGTGAGCTCTTCCTTAATCCCTTGCCAGCTAGAGGCACAGCTTCTGGCCAAGGTCTAAAGGGACACTAGGCAACAGCCAGACAGGCACCCCTCTTCCCAGCCTGTAGGGAGGACGCCCTCCACAGCCAAGGCATCCTGGGAGCAAAGTGGAAATTGCTTCAAGCAAAACACCACATCAGAGGGAGCGATTGGAACGTATCTGTGAGGCCAATAAACCTGCACAACTGTGCCAAGACCTATTTTTTTAAGATGAAGCACCTTTCTTTTACTGGGGGAGGGAGGGGGAGAAAGGAGGGTGCCTGCTCCACCTCTGTGTAAAAGCACTAGCAATGTCTATCTCCAGATTAGAACTGTCAAGATGGAGGGAAAGGAAGCATTTTATTTGGTTTATTTATCTGTCCATGGAACACCTACCAGGTACCAGGCACTAAGTATTAGGGACAATACAAATATAAATAAAACCTCAAGCTTGGCTCTTTTGGTCTCCCTCAGTAGGCAATGTGACACCTCTTTACAGATATATACTTTATATATATTTCTTATTGATTTCAGAGAGGAAGAGGGAGAGCTAGAAACATCAATGATGAGAATCACCAATTGGCTGCCTCCCATATGCCCCATACTGAGGATCGAGCCCACAACCCGGGCTTGTGCCCTGACCAGGAATCAAACCATGACCTCCTGGTTCATGGGTCAATGCTCAAGCACCGAGCCACACTGGCTGGGCTACATATATTTTTGAAAATCTGCAAGTCTGGCCCTGGCCAGGTGCTCATCTAGTTGGTTGGAGTGTCGTCTAGCACACCCAAAAATGTGGGTTCGATTCCCCATCAAGGCACATACCTACGTTGTGGATTTGATCACCGGTTGGGGTGCATATGGGAGGCAACTGGTTGATGTTTCTCTCTTTAAAAATCAATAAAAACATACCCTCAGATGAGGATTAAAAAAAAAATCTCCAGGTCTGTCTCATTCCTGCTTCCCAGTTCTTACTGGTGTATCTTAAAAGGGCACTTAATAAAGGCAGGGAGCAACAGCGGGGGGGTGGGGGAGAGAAGAGAGCTTTGCCAACTTTTTTGATCTCTGGGTAGCTTGGACCTCACACACTCTTGCCAGTTATCTAGCCACAGGCAAGTCTTCATTGAGCCAGAAAGATCAGTGGCAGCTCTGGGGTTGAAACTCACACCAACTTTATTGTGTCTGTGTTCTCTCCATGGCAATACCCAACTATGGAAGCTTAATCTGCTTCTTCGAAGGAAAAGAAGTAACTCAGGATATAGACACACACCCCGACCACCTCCACGAGGAAGAATGTAGGTCAGCATCTTTGCTACTACGCTATGTGAAACAGCCTCTGATCCTGGCAAACACCAGTAACCACAAGCCCATCCCATCCCACTCCAAATCCCACTCCTCCCCATAGCTCTCAGAGAAAACCCCGCAAGAAAAGGACTTTCTTTCTTCTCTCAACCTGCTCCCTGGCCGTCTGGATGACGCTGAAGACCTCACTGAGAAACGTGCATCAGCTTTCGCTCCCGCCGAGCAGCAGAAGCCACGCGGGGACTCTAAGTCTGCTTCACGCATCGTTGACAGACCAACCCTGTTCCAACTGCTGAAGCCTTAAGAGCAGCAGTGACCTAGAAATTGACAGTGGGGGGAGAACGGAAGGGAAATAAACCAACAAACCAGCCCACAGAAAACCCTATTTCCAAACATTAGGGGAAAAGGAGAGAAAGAAGGTGGAAGGGAAAGAAATCTGGCCCCTTTGAATCTGCAAATGCAATCCTGGCTCAGTGCCATGGAGGATATATAGCAGCCCCACTGCGAGTCAAGCCATGTTCCTGACTCAGGCCCTGCAGTGAAGAGGAAGGCGCCAAGCCTCAAATACAACGAGGTGGGGAGGCCACTCCTTTTTGGGCAGGATCCTACTGTGGACACAGAACAGACAGCAGCTGCCCACAGTGTGGAAACAAACTGTAAAGCAGTCACGTCTCTTAAGGCTGCAGCATCCAATAAAATGTAATTTAAATCAAGCCTCGCATCTGTTCTCAATCCCATTCAGTCTCTGCTTTCCATCAGCCTTCGGACAATCTTTGCAATTATGCTTGTTAACCCTTATAGCCCCAGACACTTTCCACGCTTCGAGGTATAACACTGCGTTCTCCACTCGCAAATTACCCTCAGAGGGAATGACTTCTCCGCCAAGCGTGTGAGAACATTCAGACTGTAGATTGTGCCCTGCTACACACCCGTGGGTAGTGTTCATTTCAGAGGGCTCTCTGCATGCCCTCCTTCTATCCCGTACCACCTGCTGTAGCCCAGATCACCTTGCAAGGATACAGTGGGCAGCATGAATGAAACAGTGGCCAACAGATCATTTGTACACATATCAGGTTCCCAAACTCAAGTCCATGCTGGAAAGCCAGGAGGCAGAAGAGCTCAGGGAACAGACTTGGTCACTGGTTCTCAGACCATCCATGTCACATATGGTTTGCATTCCAAGGATTTGCTCGAGTTATAAAACTACAGCCATCTCCCAAATGAATCAAACTTAAGTCTCCCCCTTTCTCAAAACGGCAGCCCCATGCCTGCACTGTCAAGGCAGTCAGTGCTGTAATGGTGCCCTCTGGTGTTCCCATCTCAAATTGCCATTTTATGCCACCAGAAAACAAACCCAGGAAAGAGGAGTCTCGAGTAACCATATGAACTAATTTATCTAACACAGCGGTTCTCAACCTGTGGGTCGCGACCCCTTTGGGGGTCGAACGACCCTTTCACAGAGGTCGCCTAAGACCATCGGAAAACACATATATAATTACATATTGTTTTTGTGATGAATCACTATGCTTTAATTACGTTCAATTTGTAACAATGAAAATACATATTGCATATCAGATATTTACATTACGATTCATAACAGTAGCAAAATTAGTTATGAAGTAGCAACGAAAATAATTTTATGGTTGGGGGTCACCACAACATGAGGAACTGTATTAAAGGGTTGCGGCATTAGGAAGGTTGAGAACCACTGTAATTATGTGTTTTCCGATGGTCTTAGGCAACCCCTGTGAAAGGTCATTCGACCCCCAAAGGGTCTTGACCCACAGGTTGAGAACCACTGATAACAAGACTAGAAAAATGAGGTTTAAATAAAAATCCAACCCCAAACGAAGGCATCTTGAGACAAGCAGCTTCATCTGAGGGCGACAAGACTATTGGGACAGTTTAGGGAGGAATTTCCACGACGAAAGCTTGAGTTCTTTGGAAATGTGATTGCTTACAAAGACAAAGAACGCAACTTGAAAATAAATATATTCACAATCTGTAGAGTTACATTCTGCTTACCACCCCCACTCCCTGGGGAGTGCCTAAGGAACTCAAGTGAGTCTTTAAAATGCCACAATGTGGAAGTATCTGCAAGGCAAACACAGGAAACTCCAAAAAGAAAAAGAAATCCTTTGATCACGAAGTGTCCTCCACATCTCCACGAGGACTTGCTTATTTTGCTGGATCACCCTTTTTCATTCTTCTGATTTGAGTGCCAAAGTTCTTTCAAATACACCAATGTTTGAGGGAACAAAGAGGTAAATATACGCACATTCCACAACATAAATCTATATCCTTGCAAGCTTATTAAGTAGTAAATATAATTTAAAAGGATCTACTTGGTAATTTTTAATGCATAAAAGTAATAAGACCCTCATTTTTAATGCATAAAAATAACACTCCCCCAAAAATAATAAAACCCAAAGATGTTATATTCTGTGTAAACATTCTTGAATCTATAAATTAAAATTGATCATTTTCAAGTAAAAAGAGTACTGTTTTCAGACCTGAATATATTAAAGTACTAACACGAAGACTTTATAACATTCTAGATAACACTGGATACTTTCAGGTGGGAAGTATGAAAAATAAAAGATTTTAAGGCAATCCAGTAGCTAAGATATTTCCAATTAAAGTTCTGTCTTTCAGAGCATGCTCTACTTCCTTCTCTTCAATCTTTAAAGACACCTGGAAAAAAGAGAAAAAAGCTTTTCACAGTGGAGAACTCACAAAAGCAAAGTCTGTAGTACATAAAGGCCTACCATGTTAACCCTTCTCACAAGAGGCGAGCACGTTAAACGCTGCTTTTGCAATGGCCCCCACACACAAAAAATCTCACTCATGCCCCAGTCCCATCCTCACAGATCTTAAACTCTACCTAACAAGAAACAAATTGTGTATCTAATTACGGTCATTTTAAACTCTTTACTCTAGCAAAACACAAGTTCTCCAAAACAGGACAATTAAAAGGAATGCCACAAAGAAGCAGTTGGCTGTACCTTTGTGAGGCGGGTTTCCTTGTTTTTCTTTAATTCTAAAATGCCCCTGGCCTCCAAGAGCCCTGAGAGTGACAAACACTCTGACTGGTCCGCAGCTGCCACCTGCTGTTTGCGACAGACGTTACCGTAGGCTTCGTATAACTGGGAGGAAACAAGGGAGAACAAATGTTTAGAAGTCCTATCTCTTGGAACCTATTTATAATCTTTGAAAGAATGTGAGTCTGGGTTTGCAAACAAAAGTTATCTCGGTACCCAGTCCTCCCTCTTTCCAATAGGACCCTTGAACGGGCATCCTGTAGATATCGCCAAACCCTCTACTGTCATGTAGGAAAGGGCTCTATATTTCGTTGAGAGGCAGAAATGAAAGGGGAGAAGATTAATGGTCAATTCTCAACCACAACCCAAGGGAAATAAAGTCAGCTGCCTTTTACATGGTTCCGGTGTTTATTCTGACTGTTAAAAATCCATTTTTAATTCCTGTCAGCTGGAGCGTGATAGGCCTTTTGGAAAATATCTGCTCCGCAAAGCAGATTCCCACCTCTCCCCCAGCTCCATCGGCCGACATTCCCCACTAACCTTCCCCAGAGTGACCTCTTTGGTTTTCAACTGCCTGGTCAAGAGCAGCAAAGAGCAGACCAAGATCTTCTGCTGAAGGGGGAAGGAATCTTGTGCTCCTTCTTGGATCAAAGTCATCCTGTCTCCATCAACTTCTGAAATGACTTGGGATATGTGACTGAGGCCAACCCGCTTCGGAACCAGCGACTCAGAGGATGACTTACCTATAAATACATACATCGAACTTAATTAGATTTTTACAATTGTGTGTATTGCGACAGATGAGACTAAGTTTTAGCTGAAGAAAATTCAAGTGCAGTCATGTCGTGGCAAAGCAGAGGTTCCAGCTCTGTAACTGGAAACGAAAGGATGAGAGACAATGCTGTCCTCACCAAGAGACCAGGGGACCGTGGGTAACTTCAACCAAGGCTTATCCTTTTTCTGGGCAGAATGGTGAGCTGCTGTGCCCTGTAGAACACAATTTAATCTCAGAGAGACAAAAACCCACTTCATAAAAGAATAAAGATCAGACAAAGAACTACTGTCTCCTGCTTGGGGGTTCCTAATATCTCAAAGGTAAAGACAAACAGAACTCTGAAGCAAAGATGCCCAGTTATTAAGAAAAAAGCTGGAAAAATTACCTAATATGTTGACTCAAGCAAGTGGCTAAATGTGGGCAGTACAGTCAATCCTATGTAAGTCTCCGAGAGCCTCCACAAATGACCTTTGAGGTTCGGTTCACTTGCCCACGCTGATCTCTACACTTGAGAAAAGGTCACTGGATATCTTAGCAGATAGCACCATCTCAGAGGCCGGAGGCTGGGAAACAGCCAACAAGCTGCATGGGACTATGGCCTCATTGTTTGGAGATGCATGAATTGCAAGACAGGAGGGGTTTGCTCTGTAACAACCTTTGCCTACAGTTACTTCCTGAGATCATGTGCAGTTGTCCCACAACCATTTGCTTCTATTTCATTACAACAAACGGGATGTTGCAGAGGACGGACAGAAGTGGAGAAACTGGAGATCACTGATCAAGTAGCAGAATCGTGAGGCTGAAAGAATTTTGAGCCTAGTTTTGCTCCCTCACCCCATGGCTGAGCCCTCTAAAACAACCCCCACAAGTGGTCATCTATCCAGCTTTTGTTTGAGCATCTTCAATGCTGGGGAACCCACGATGGGAACCCACTCAGTTAGTGCTGCTTATTAGAAAGTGTCTTACTAGTATATAGGGCGGGGCAAAAGTAGGTTTACAGTTGTGAGTACGCAAAACAGCACTTATTCTTGTATTATTTTTTATTAATTATTGTATCTTTTTTATTGATTTTTAGAGAGAGAAGGGAGAGGGAAAAGGAGACAGAGAAAAACACCAATTTGTTGTTCCACTTATTTATGCATTCATTTGTTGATTCTTTTCTTTTTTAAATGTTTTTGTTGATTTCAGAGGAGAGGGAGAGAAATAGAAATATCAATGATGAGAGAGAAACATTGATCGGCTGCCTCCTGCATGCCCCCTACTGGGGATCAAGACTGCAACCTAGGCATGTGCCCTGACCAGGAATCGAACTGGGACCTCCTGGTTCATGGGTCAGCACTCAACCACTGAGCCACACCGGCCAGGTACTGGTTGCTTCTTGTATGTGCCCTGACCAGGCATCAAGCCTGCAACCTTGGCATATTGGAACAACGTTCCAACCAAGCCACTTGGCTAGGGCTGTATTATTTTTCCATATGAACAACTGTAAACCTATTTTTGCCACACCCTGTATAGAGCTGAAGTCAGTCTCCCTATAGCTTTCTAGAGCCATTAAGAGCTAATCACATATACCAGAGGTCAAGGAATTAGATTAGTCCAACAATTTACACCAGGAACTTATAACCCATTCTAGCTCTGTGTGTGCCGGCAGTGCTCACAGGGGTCGCCGACACATTTGGTAGTGAGAAAAAAAAGGGGACTAATCCTAAGCACTAAGTTTGGCTACTTCTGAAGTATTTTTATTAATTTTCTTTCAACAAGGTGATGAAAAATAGCAAGTGTTCTCTGTGGAAATACAGTGCTAGAAACAATTTTAATAACTTTCAACCAGTGCAGGAATGAAGGAAGAAACAATCAAATCAGGGTGTTCCGCTTCTAAAGACTAACCCTGGATATTAAACACTGCCAAGATATGTCGTTCATGGCCATTTTATATCTGCCACCGCTAAGGAAAAGGAAAATTAATGTTTCCATTTTTGTAACAGCTTGCCGTTTACTGCAGCAATATCATCTTTATACCTCCATCCTCCTAGGCTTGATTAAAGGCCTGAGATATCCCAGGGCAAACTCAGTTCTCTCACTGCCTGCCTCTTATTTAGCGGGCTCTGCTTTTACCTGTACGGAGACCTAAACCGCACACAACTTCAGCACCCAGAGAAGCTGAGCCAGCCTCCTGTTTACAGTTTCCACTCCTAGAGCTTGGAAAGAAAATTTACTCTGTCCCAACCATTTATGTAACACTGTGGATAACTCATTTCCAGTAATGCACGAAATTTAGTACTGCAGGCAAGACTGAAATAAAGCTGACACACAGTCACACACATAAAAACGGGTGTAGATTTAACCATGTTCATTACACCTTTCTAGCTCTTTCCTCAGAAAAGTGAAGCAAGCTTCAAAAAAAAAAAAAAAAAAAGTGAAGCTTCTATTACAAAGGAAGATGGGAAGGAGATAAACTACTTACATTCAGACAGCGGTTTGAGGATAGTCTGGCTTTTGACATCCGACTCTACAATTTCAATAGCTCTCCTATAAAAAAATATTTCTAAAATTAATTTAGGCTGAGCCAAACCAAACACCACACCAAACCACTAAGCTCGAAAACAGACATATTAACAAAAAACATGTTTTATAATTTTAAAGCCCCCAAACAGAACGAGGCTATGTCTCAGCTAAAGGAGACTTAGTTGTCCTGAAATAAATCACAGACCAGGCAATCTGAGAACCTCAACACTACACGCTTTCCTCTCAGAGACGCCAAGTAGGCCATCATACATCGAGCCAATGATAACACCTTCGATGAGGAGAAAACGTCATGGATAGGAGAGAGAATACAGAGTGTGGGCAGTGGACTAAAGACAGCCGGTACCACCCATCCACACCAGACCCGAAAGGGCAGTGCTCCGTTTTCGATACTGCCATTTGTGTAGGCTAAACCGCACCAGCCTCAGACTATTGCTTGGAGCTGGTCTTTCCCAGAGCAGTTTGCTGACTAGGGGAAACTTTCAGATCCAGCCAGGATCCTGCCATCTAGCAGTAGGCAGAGCTTACACTCCCACTGCTCTCTCCGAACTACTTTGCCCACAGGAAGCCAGAAGCCAGACCTGGATCTTCTGTATGGCAGTAGGGGGGAGGTAGGACCAGCAGGCCAGCACAGCAAGTATCATTTTAATGGGCCCAGTGCCCCTACTGGGAAGGAAGAAATTTCATCAGTCAGCACAGAGGCTTTCCCCAGCAGGAGGGACAGAGGGATGGGAAGGGAGAGAGGTCTGGAGTACAACTGTGGGGACCACCAACTGAAGGAAGGGGTGCTCACAAAAAAAAGCAAAGGGAGGAAAAAAATGTCTAAAGGCAAAGATGGTTCAGGTCCATAAATAAACCTGCTTGAGACCAGCTAATGGAAAAGTAAACTGGAGTCTTTTTTAATACAAATGTAATTAACCAATCTATAATCACCACAGGGAGTGCCAGCAACATCTCATTTGTTCCTCCCTCTGTAGGTAATGGACTGATAATGTTTCAGACATTAACACGGTGGAAATGCAGAACTCCCCACTGAGAAACAAGTCCTCTCTCCTGAGCATAAAAAAGTGGCAGAACGGAGCCTCTTAAGCCACATTCACTTGAGTTACACGAGACAATTAAACAGCATTTCTTTTTTTTAATAAAAGCAGCCAACAGAGCCATAACTCACCTGCAAACATCTAGTGCTTTGCGAACGTCTCCAGAAACAGCAGAGACTTTTCGGGCACAGAACTGAATCGCAGCACTGTCCAGGATCTGATCTCTGGATACCTTTGGACAAGACACAGAAGGTGACAGTCTGAACTATGAGTCCCCCACTTTGTAATTTAGATCCCAGGCACAAATATTTTCACATTGAAGTCTAAGTTTGATTGGCCACCCTGTAGGGTCTAAGAGATGCCTTTTCTGCTCGTAAGTAAATGGAGATTTACTTATGAGACTGGCATATATGTCCATAAATGGAAAAAAAGAAAGCAATCAGACCTTAAATTAGCAAAACTAAACTAAAATAAAACCGATTTGGTCATTTCCCAAAGAGAACGTTTTCTCATAGCCCCTATTTTGAAAGGTCTAATTGAAGGGGCATTTGAGGGATTCCTCTCTTATTTTTATTTCAACACGGAGGCACCCAATAAATGGAGCCATGGGTGAAAATCCTTATAAAAATGTTCTCCCTGTGGCCCATAGGAACTCCATGGTTAGTAATGCCACCCAAACAAAATATTTAGAGCTACTGTTAGATTTTTCCAACACAGGTGATCCAAGGAACACGCAATTTGGTAATGGTTATCACTCACCTGATTAAGTCGATCCTGCAAGATAGTGGCTATCTGATTTCTGGTATAAGGTGGGAAGTTCAAAAGCTGTGGCTTGCATTTTTCTCTAGCTTGAAGCCTCGGCAGAATTCTGTCTGTGAGATCCAAGGTATTAGCAATGCCTGCGGAGGAGATAAATAACATTAACCATCAAATCATCCTACAAGGAAAAATAAACCATCTAAAAGCTGAATAAAATTTCTAGCTGTAATCCAGTATTCCAATTGTTGCTTCCCACTTGCTGCCCCCTTGTCCCCGCCCAAAACTCATTAGGTAAGATGTATATTAGGATTGTTCACCGATAAGCAGAATCAGATATTCCAAAAATCAACACTGGGTGTCTCTGAAATGCAGTATTATGTCATTTCTATTCAGACTTAACTGATCTTCCTTAGATTAAAATTACTATTATTTTAGAGTAATGTTCTTATTTTGATAAGAAAGCAGGTTTAAAATAAAGTAATAGGTGATAAATAAACTAAAGAGATTAAAAAAGAATTCTTTACAGTCACCATGTAACGGTAACAACTGGGCACTAACCAATCAGCACCAATCGAGAGTTGCTTAGCCAGGGCCATTCAAACAGTGTGTACAATACATCCTGCCCTTTGCTGTCCAGCTGATCCATCTCGTCCAGCACCAACACACTACATGGAAAGAGAAACAGTTAGTGCCCGCGTTCACTTTCTTAACTCTCCAATCTGTTTGATCTGGGCTGGCTCTGGGCCACATTCCTACGGCAGAGATCGGTTTGAAGATCATAATTTGTCCTGTCTCCAGTCACTGTTACAAATGATCCCCCTCCACCATCATGAAAAAGTACCATTATAGGTTTTTTTTTGTGTTTTTTTTTTAAAATATATTTTATTGATTTTCCACAGAGAGGAAGGGAGAGGGATAGAGTCAGAAACATCGATGAGAGAGAAACATCGATCAGCCGCCTCCTGCACACCCCCCACTGGGGATGTGCCCGCAACCAAGGTACATGCCCTTGACCGGAATCGAACCTGGGACCCTTCAGTCCGCAGGCCGACGCTCCATCCACTGAGCCAAACCGGCTACGGCAATTATAGGTTTTTCAAGCACTTAGTTTAAAAACATTTTTCCAATTTAAAATTAGGTGTCATTTTCCTTTCTTCTTTCCCTTTAAGCTTATGTAACTACCACTCATAGAGCAAATATAGGGAAACTAGAGGCCGGTGCACCGGTGGGGTCCCTTGGGCTGGCCTATGCAGATCAGGCTGAAACTGGCTCTCCGACATCCCCGGAGGGGTCCCGGATTGCGAGAGGGCGCAGGCCAGGCCGAGGGACCCCACCGGTGCACGATTGGGGCCAGGAAGGGACCATGCGAGGGCTCCAGGGTGTGTTGGCCCGTCTCACCCAGTCCCTATTGGCTGGACTCCAGCAGCAAGCTAACCTACCAGTTGGAACGTCTGCCCGCTGGGGGGCAGTGTGCACCATAGTGACTGGATGAACAAACGGTTGGACACTTAGCATATTAGGCTTTTATTACATAGGATGTCTTTTTATAAACCAATAAATTCAAGAGATTAGAATGTGAGTTTGTGGGTGAGAGACCCCGCAGATTCTTAGAGGGCAGCACGCGGCAGAGCAATACTTACACCATGGGGCCCTTCTCTGCAGTGAAATGGTTTTCCAGTTTCTTCATCATGTCCTTCCCAGCTGGCCTGGATACTCCTTCCTGACAAATTTCCTGAGCAATAGCTGGGAATACAGCCTGAGCCCTCCTCAAGGACATGCAATTCAGCATGATAGTTTTAAAACTTTTCAGCTCCTTCTAGAAAAATGCAAACATAGGAGTAATTTTAGCCTTGGATAAAGATTTGATGGAACCTGAAGTGTCTGAGGAGTCAACAGCATACGAAAGAGTAAGCTCTCCTTTCATTTGGAAAGATTTAGACAATGAAATTGAAAACGTCTTTTTTGGGGGAAATGTCACCTAAGACTTCTACTTTTTCTTAACCCTTAATAACTAAGTGCCATTTTAGCAAGAGCATCATAATTCAGACTCTCAAAGTACCTTGAGGTCTTGCAGAATTCGGCTTAAGCAGGCAGTTTTTCCAGTTCCAGGAGCACCAGAAAGATAAAGACTTCCAGCTTTTTTCCCACAGATGTGCTCCCTCAGGAAATTCCTGATGACATCCATCTCCTTTTCCCTGGCAGGGAGCCGATCTGGGACAGCTGTATTCAGGACCAGCTTTGCTTGCTGGTAGCAAGTGCCTGTGCCAGACATGAAAGGACAATTAGATACAACAGAGGCGACTGAGAAGACCCAATGGGTTTCATCTGGACTTGCCAGCCTTGTTTAAAGCTGCAGTAACAGCTGCTGTGAGAGAACGAACCTTCTTGCTTAAACAGCCTCACACAGGCGGATTCTTTCTCCAGTGGACATCTCTGCTCAGAATTTGTTGTGGCCTCTGGACCTTTTTGAACGGAGGAACATATTTTGTTTTGGTGAACTCTGGCCGGTCTTCTTTTGCCTGGAGACTTAACTGTCAGCTGATTGTCAAACACCAGTTTGCGTCCCCTCGGTGTGTGTGAGTGAGGGGGACCGTTCTCCTTCTTGCCCAGCTTTGGTGGAGAACAGGGTGATAAACAGGGAGTGTTGCACTGGTTGTCATCACCTGAAACACATTAAAATCAAAGCATGGTCGTTCGCGGCAGTGATTAGTAAAAGGACTCGCAAAGATCCCTGCCTCCCCCAGAAAGAGGTGAATTCCCACTTCAGCCAAAGCCACCAAAATAAAACGCCTCTCATTTTAGAAGCAAATACTGGCCACCAGGTGGCAACACTGAGTCTCACTATTGTTGGGTAGAAACCAAATGGGTTTGCGTGGGATGAAATTCTAAGATGGTTCTAAAACAGGGTTTCTCAGCGACGGCACCACTAATATATTAGACCAAATAATCCTTGGGCGTGTCCCCTGTTCATGGTAGAATATTTAGCAGCATCCCTGGTCTTTATCCGTATGCCAGAAGCACACCGCAGTGTCAACAACCAAAAATGTCTCCCCATACTACTACCCAACCACCCCTCATTAAAAACAAACGCTCTAACACAGGAAAGGGTTCCCAACGGCCTTTCTAAAACAAGAGCATCACCTGTGTCTCTTAATTTCACACCATTAAGGCAAGTTTCAAAAATACTATACAGTACAGTTAACTGCAAGGTCACTGTTTTAAAAAGTTTATTTTTTATTGTTGACAGTATTACAGATGTCCCCCATCCCCCCCCCCCAGTTCCCACCTCCACCCAGCCCCCTCCCCGCCCCACCCCCAGCCCTCACCCCACTATTGTCTGTGTCCATGGGCTATGCATGCAAGGTCGTTTAAAATAACCAACAGCACTGAGTTCAATGAAGACACAGAAGATCAGGCCTATTAAATACTGCAGAAAGTGATCTTAACTCTGAAATTCAGCGAGAACTCGGCCATCTTCCTGAAAAACCCCCAGAGTGAATAGAGTGGCCTTAACAGAACTTGCCGGCCTCCGAGGACTGGGCATTCTTATCGCTGCGTAAAGGGAGGTGGAGAGCTGCGGGGCGCAGAGGGCTCAGAAGGGGGGGCTTACCCAGACGTTTCCTGGGGCTGAGGGGCAGGCTTTTTGCACAGGGAGTCCGGGGTGTGGCCTGGACCTTGGTCAGCTCCAGTTTGGTGTCACTGCAGCTTTTAGCTTTGTCCACGGTCCGAGACGGCTTCTTTTTTGGAAAAGTGATGGTGGCCTGCGACTGGGATCGGGTCTGAGGCATGATGGCCGCACAGCTGGGCACGGAAAAGAGAACGGGAGAGCCAGTCAACACGTAACACCGAAGGGAAAGACCTCGCACGGAATGCATGCCGACGGTCGGCACTTATCGAGTAAGTAAATGATAACGATATTGGAGCGCCCAGTTCTGCCTCCCACCCCCATCGATGGAATAAGAGCAGAAACTTGTCTACCAACTCTGCGTACGAAGCTGTTCGGAGCAGTTCGGGTATCGCCTCATCTGAGTTTCACAACCAACTGCCTCAGAGGAAGGTACTATTATTAAAATGACCTTGAAGACGAGAAAACTGAGAGCACAGGGGCCCGAAGGCACAGCGAACCAGGCACTCTGGCTCCACGTTCTTACTCGCTGGAGCGATGCAAGAAGTGTATCCTGATGGGTCTCGATCGCACTCCTAATCCCCTCACCCAGCCCCTTCCAGCCTTCCAGCCTCGCCCCACGCACCCCCAGGCCTCACTCAGCACTGTCTCCACCCCGCACAGCTCGCAACCCCACCCGGAACATCTCCCCCTGCATCACCTACACACAACTGCCAGCCAGGCTGCTCGGACAGCGCACACCTCCCCTCCCTTCCCTTCCCCGACCTCTCTCCCGCGATCTGGGCTCCGCTCCGCTCACTTCACCTCGGGCATCACCGGCACCCTTGGGCCTTGTCACTCAGCGCCCCTACTTCTCTGACCCCAGGCGCCCCGGGGTATCCTCTCCTCTCCACCCCACAGGGCTGCGTCACCTCAGTACCGGATTCTTCTCTCCTCTCTCGCGCAAGGCTTCAGGGATTCTTCACAAGCTCCTGGACAAACCGGCAGCAGCCAAGCCCAGACACATTCGCGCCAAATGTGCACAGTTGTAGCTTTCCGGCCTCCCGCCAAAGTCCAGACAGGCTTCTAATTGGCTGTCGCCTGAATGCCGCGCGCCTAGGCCAACGCCCACCCTCCCCAATGAACAACCAATAAGAGAGTCCCAGGTCTCGGAACCCTCTGAAGGCCACGCCTACTGAGCGGAGGGTGCCCATCTACATCCGGGACCTCCGCCGGAAAGACGTGAAGGGAGCGACGCTGGGTAAGGCGAACTGGCCACGCCGCAAAGCTCGATGGGAGATGTAGTCTTTGCCGCACGCGATTCTATTTCCATGCCTTTCTCTCGATGGGAGGTACAAAGATGTGGTTGCTCCTCAGTGCTGCACTTAACCCATTTTCGTTATCCTAATGGGCTACATTTTTAGAGAGCTACTATATAATACCTATCATTTTGGGGACGGTTCTGGGAGTCAGATATGATGCTAGGAGCTTTACTCAACCCTGCAAGGCACAAATCAAATGTGCATAGGGTCAATTAGGGGTCACAGCATCTTGTTGAAGGATCTAGGATCCCAGATTTCCTGACACCCAAACCAATTTTTTTTTTTTTTTTTTTTTTGGTAAAGTTCTACACATGCATAGCGAAATATACTACCCCTCATTATAATATTCCCCTGATTTGTATTTCAAAGGTGAGAAATAAAGCCAGGCCTTTGCTTTTATTTTGTTAAAGGTAAGAATATATTGTGTACCTTCTTATCATTAATCCCATTAATCAACACTTTGTAGGGAGTGGAGAGAATTATGACCCCTTCATTTAAAAAAAATTTTTTTTATGGCTAAACACTAGGGTTTCAGGGCCAGAGAAGATGGCTATAGAAGAAGAGGCAAGCTGAGCTTTTAATGAAAAATATAAATTAGAGCAGTAATTTATAGGCCAGTTTCCAAAGCTAATAACAGCTATGCCTCAGATTCTGTTAAAGGCCAAAACCCAATTCTAGGTGATGGTAAGCATTTATCTTTCATCCTTCAATATCAAATAAAATAGAGCAATAAAGCTGAGAAACAGGAAAGCAATATTACAATCGTCAGTTAATTGTAGTTAGTTCATATAGTAGATAAGAGCCAGTACTGAGTGCTTAAGTGTATGCCAGGGACTGAGTTCAAGCCTTTTACCTATGTCACCTTATTAATTCTCACAAGCACCCCATGAAGTTGGCATTATTTCCATTTTACAAATGAGGAAATGGAATAGAAGGGGTTGAGTAAATTTCACACATTAGTAAGTGGAAGAGCTGGAATTTGAACTGGCAAAGTCTGACAGGAAATCAAACTCTCAACCATTAAACATGGGGGAGGATTAGACAGATGCAGGTTCCACAGTGGCCTTCTAAACAGGGAGAGATGGTTAGGAAGCACGTATCGGGAAGGCTTTCCAGGAGCTGAAAACTGTAAGAGTGAAGAGATTAGGTAGCCATGACTGTAAAAGTGTTATCCTAAAATGGAGGCTTTAAAAAATATACATATATATGTAATTTTTTATTGATTTCAGAGAGGAAGCAACAGGGAGAGATAGAAACATCAATGATGAGAATCACTGATCAGCTGCCTCCTGCACACCCCCGACTGGGGGCCGAGCCTGCACCCTGGGCATGTGCCCTTGACTGGAATTAAACCTGGGACCCTTCAGTCAGCAGGCTGAGGCTCTATCCACTGAGCCAAACCAGCTAGGGCCTAAAATGGAGGCTTTTTGCCCAGCTGGCATAGCTCAGTGATTGAGCATGGACCTATGAACCAGGAGATCACAGTTCGATTCCAGGTCAGGGCACATGCCCGAGTTGCTGGCTTGATCCCCAGTGTGGGGCATGCAGGAGGCAGCCATTCAAAGAATTCTCTCATCATTGATGTTTTTCTCTCTCTCCCTTTCTCTTTCTCTCTGAAATTAATAAAAATATATTTAAAATGAAGTAAAATAAAATGGAGGCTTTTGACCAGATGGTATTTTTGATATCTTACTAGGGCAATAGAACCTAAAAAGCAATCTTCACTGCTCATATTTATTTTTACAGCTGGGCACCTGAAAATTGTCCTTAGTAACCTGAAATGGTAACATGTGCCCAACCAGTCTTAAGAAATTGTGAACCTCCCTCCGTTACGTGGGAGGGAGGGAGCAGAGGAAGCTATAAGTACTTAACATGCATATTGGAGCCTTGAAAACACCAGAAAGGATAGCACTGGTCTATAAAAGAGCTTGCAGGAGTGAATGACCACTGTAGAAGCAGGCCGAGAATCACAGGATGTCAGATTGGAAGGTCTCTAAAAGCTTACCGACTTGAGGCATTCCATTTTCAATATTCCAGTAGCATGCTGCACACACCACCATACGGTTTCTTGCTTCTGTGCCTCTGTCCTTGCTATTTCCTGTCTGGAATACCTCACCATCTTCCTTCCCTGGTTAATTACCATGAAGCCTTTTTTAAAAAATATGTATTTTTATTGATTTCATAGAGAAGGGGTGAGGGAGAGATAGAAACATCAATGATAAGAGAGAATCGTTGATTGGCTGCCTCCTGCACACCCCACAATGGGGATCGAGCCCACAATCCAGGCATGTGCCCTGACCGGGAATCTAACTGTGACCTCCTGGTTCATAGGTCGAAATTCAAACACTGAGCCACTCTGGCCAGGCCCATGAAGCCTTTTAATAGCCTGCAGAGGTTTCTCTTGGTAGTTGTCCTGAAGTCTTCTACTAGATTTTGAGCTCCCTGGAGGCAAAGGCCCTGTCCTATTCATCTTCATATTACAGATGCCTGGCATAGAGTAAAGTATGAAATAAGTGCTTGCTGAATGGAAAGGACATGCCTGCCAAGTGAGGTATCCACCTTTCTCATGAAGCTTTTTTGTGGATAGATACCATATAGTCCTTTATTTATTTATTTTTTCTTTTCTTTCTTTTTAGTTTTTACAGAGAGGAAAGGAGAGAGATAGTTAGAAACATCGATGAGAGAGAAACATCGACCAGCTGCCTCCTGCACACTCCCCACTGGGGATGTGCCCGCAACCAAGGTACATGCCCTTGACCTGAATCGAACCTGGGACCCTTCAGTCCGCAGGCCGAAGCTCTATCCAGTGAGCCAAACCGGTTTCGGCACCATATAGTCCTTTAAATCTCACACACCTAAACCTACAAGTGGAGAATAAATTCAATTATATGTAAAAAACAATGCAGACTGGGCTCCAGGGATGTCAGAGGTGAAGTATTTCCCCTCCAGTTATCCTCGAGGGCAGTTAGGGTCCTGAGGTTGACAGTTTAGTTCTCTCACCTCTGCAGAGTAATAGGAAGTCAGAGATAAGCAGCTTTCTTTACAGTGAGTCACAGTTTGTGGCTGGGTTGGAGCAGGAAATACTTAAGAGGCACATTCACAGTGAGCAGCAGTGTCCCAGTATCATTAGACTGGGCAAACTACTGCCCTTATCAACTGCTAGTTCATACACAGTATCATGAGGGAAGGAATCAGATCACACTGGAAGGACCTGTCCGGCATCCTGTTGTACAAGTACATGTACACATATACACACACACATACACACACACTAGCAGGACCATCCCAATAGGATGGAGAAAGCTTATAGCATTAGGAAGTTGAGGGTCATTTAGGCAAGCTCCATTTCAGGGTTATTGAAAGTTACAAGAGTAACAAATCAAAATAGGTAGTTTATTAATCATATTAATAACAATGATGGGTCAAATAATCAGGAATTAGACCAATAATCAGGAATTAGACCAATTTGGCAAGTATGGGTGAAAATGAAAGGAGCCTCATAGATTTTGATATCTAAAGTATGTGAGAGTGATTCATGTACACACCCATTCTGAAATCAGTATGGGAAACAATTTCAAGACCTTTGCCCATGATGAAAGTGCAGTTGAAGCTCACTAAGTCCTAGTGGTGATTGTGTCAGCTGACCATAGTAAGCAGAGAACGTCTGGTTTAATTTTTACACCTAAAGTCCAAGTTCAAGAAAGCCTGCTTAGATTCCAACTTAAAAAGTAGTGAAGAAAAACAGCCAACACCCACATAAAAACAGACACACACACAATCTACATGCTCTGCCTCCACCTTTTCTTCCACGCCTCAGTGTGCAAATCTGGCGTGCAACACAGGCAGAAAGCATCACAAGGGACACAAAGAAAAGACACAAGGCCAGGAGGTGTCTGGGTTTCCCGAAACCATAAGCAAAAGGGTTTCAGGTGGCAAATATAAATAATGGCCAACTCTATCATAATCACCCAGTCAGTATGGCTACCCAGCACTGGGGTTTTCAAAACATCACAGGAGGGGAGGACAGAAAACTCTTAAGAAGCTGCAGATGCTTCTGCCCAGGTCAGTGGACCTTCTTCCCGAGAGGACCTGGGGTCAAATGACCACACAACCTGGAACATGAGGTCACAGGTTTTCTCCCCTCTCTATACCACCACAGGAGGCGAGATTCCAGACAAGAGTACACAGTTTTCAGTTTTTGGTTTTGTTTGTAAGCAACATTTAATTAAACCACACGGCATCCAGGAGAAACAAATGTACCGAAGAATCCAACCTGAGACCAGATTATACATTTTTGAGGGGGTTGGAAAAAAAAATCAATGCTAATTGGGAGAGGGAGCATTATAATCAGAATACAACTCCAAAATAAATCACACAATAAATTATTTTTTAAAAGAAAACTGACACACATATACACACTCACGCTCTTCACACATGCATTCTAGTCTTTTATTCAGTGTTGACTGACTTCCATGCTGGTAGTGTTGGGAAATGATGAAAGATAGATATGAGAAAAGTAGGCTTGGCCCCTCTGCCATCAGTAAAATGAGATTTAAGATAATTAGGGAACCCACTGATGTCAGAAACAAGAGTAGAAAGAAGGAAACAGCAGTTATCAAGGAAGATTTTAATTGCTTCAAATAGGGAGAGAGGAAGAAAGCACAGAAATCTAACACGAGTAAAGGCACAATGAACGTGGAGTTGAATGGAACCAAACCCTTCCTTCAGTTAAACAGTTATTCTTTTTTTTTTTTTTGTATGTTTTGAAGGTGGTTGTAGTTTTGTTTCATTTTGATGAGTCTTGAAGGCAGAGTTGTAATGCCTTCCACTCCCTAAGTTTAGGGTGGCCCAGAAAGCTACCCTAACTACATAGCCAGGGACTGAGATTTAATAGGGAAAGAAACTACAACTGGAATGTGAAGAATTTGATCTGTGGTTGGTTGTAGGTTGGGTTTCCAGAAGGACAGACAGCTCAGTGTAGTGCCATCCAAGGGCCTCAGATGCCCTACACTCCACCCCCAGAGCTCCGCAGCAGACCCTGGAGCCACCCTTCTCCCCCACTCTCATAAGCACTCAGCCTACAGATTATTCAAGTGATCAGGAGAATTAAAACACACCCCAACCTGAGTTGCTCTGTAGCAAGTCTATTTACAATTTTCCTCACCTCTCCCTGGAGGTAAATCTGGGTTTCAAGTTGGGAAACTATGGGGTGAGGGGGTGCCCCCAGTGCAATGGCCAGTGGCTAGTCTCTCTGCCTTTGCCAGCTGGAAGGACTGGGATGAATTTCTGGAGACAGCAGCTTCACATCCACTGGGTGGGGTAGCCCTCGACCCTCTCTCTGTGCAACCAGGCTGGGAAAATGATAGGGCTCTGTTGCTGGAGGAAATCCCCATGACAGAGAAACCACACCTGGAATATCCAAGTGCTTTGATCCAGGTTTGGTGACCAGAGAAGAGGGGGGAAGGAGGGCATCTAAGCTCATTTAAAAACCGGGAGGCCACTGCCCTACTTCCCAGAAAGGGCGGTAAGAAACAACTCTAGTATTAAGTTTTCCCCCCTAGAGAAAAACATCATGAAACCAAACCCACACAAGGGCTTTTAACACAGCTTCCTGCTTAGCTGGGCAACGCCTCCTCCTTCTGGGAGGGGAGAAGGGGTGAAGGGGTTAAAGGGACTGGGCAATAGCCTCAACATGAGACCACCCACTTCCCACGGAAGATACAACATTGCCATAAACAGATAAAAAGCCATTTAAAAGGTGAGAAGTTGTAGTGCTCTTGCAGCCAGCCCACCTTCAATCTATATTACAAGCTTTTTACAACATACAAAATAGATCAATAACTATGAGGATCACATTCCCATTCTTCAATAGTAAATATACATGATAATAAATCTGTTATTAACAGAGGGACGAAATATGTATAAGGCAAAAGACATTTAAATAAGTACCGTGTCACCAACATGCGCTGAAGAAAATGCATCTAACTAGATCTAGACTGAGGCCTTTTCCCATGAGGCCAAGAAAATGAAAATAATCAATACCCATGTGACACAGTCCAAATGCTGGGGAATATGAGCAGCAGGTCACAGGGGAGGAAGGTATCAGCCCCAGTGAAAAGCTGTGGTTTGGCTTTCACTTATGATACTTATTTTGATGTTCTATGTTTGAGGAAAGGGGAAAAAATACATTTCTATAACATTATACAAAAGGCATCAACTCCCATTTCAAAAATAAATGGGAAGACTTCACAGTCCAAGTTGAGTAACTGATCAGCATCTACCCTGGAACGCTGCTGC